AGGGAAAAAAAAATTCAGAGTTTTGTTTTCTTTCTGTTGTTAGTCTATTCCTATATTTGAAGCAAACACTTTCTTGAGAACCTATCTATTAAATTTAATGGGGTATTTATCTGACTAACTTTAGGAGAGTCTTGTTAAAAAAAAAAGAAGTTACTTTGAGCACACACCTCCATTCAACCTAAGTTTTCCATACTTAATTTCTTAGACTTTTTAAGGGAATATACAACATTTGCAAAAATAAAAAAAACCCCGAAACTACCGGGTACTAAATTAGTATGAAATACCTCACTGGACTGTGAATGACAGTCTAAAGCATCCTGTGAAATCATGGCACCTGGAGTGCTGTCATTTTTAAGAAAAGTGGTATTTTTCTATCAATTTCCGACGCTGGTCGGCCGACCAGCATTGGAAAAAAACTGACTTTTTTCAAATGCTGCCCCCAATTTACCATATTAAGTTAGTCTGAATTTTGTTTGCAATCGATTACATGTCTATGAACGGGTGCAAGCCTTCTAGACTGGTTCTCTGACCTTACAATTCCCTGGCGTCTATAAATTGCTTTATTTCAATTGAATGGATCAGGGAACCAGACTACAATATGATTGTTTTTTTTTGTGAATTTTCCAGCATCTACGAACACAAAACTTCAAACAAGTCAGTGCAACAATATTTGCTATGAAATACTAATCCCCCAAATCCATCCATGAAAATTACATCAAAAGCAAATGTTGTATACTCCCTTTAAAAGTAAAAAAAAATACAAAGAATCACACAATTATCTCCAATCTTAAAACATATTTACACAAAGTATCATGTACGAGAGCCACTTTAGATTGACATTCGGTGTAAATTTGGTGTTAAGCTGCACAATGTCTGAACACTAATTCACCGATCATCGACTTAACCTAAATTTTTCCACAACTTTCAGGAAATTTTCTTGGTGGGGGTATCAGTGTATTGATATACGAAATAATGAATGTTTGTGAGTGCAATGGTAAGAATAATTAATGAGGTGACAGATGGAATGGAATATTCCATCTGGAATGGAACAGTCCATCTGGAATAAGACATTCTATCTGTCACCGAATGAAATTCTTTACATTGCACAAATATGAAACATTCATTATTTGTTTTATACGCCTGAATAAATCCTCGTCATCTGATTGGTTATAGTGTTAACGTACAATGGAATATCTATGGACCATGGAGTGGATTTTTTATTTTTGCGGTGCGGCCGGGCCGCTGGTTGGGACGAATAACTTAAGAACATTTGATCAAAGACCCACCAATCAGATGGCGGGGATTTATTCAGGCGTTGTATATGATTTATGAAAGTCAATATGCTGTGCAGTTGAAATTTTCGAACAACACATTAATTAACCATTTACAACCTACCAAAATATAAGTCGGAAACAAACAAGCAACTTTTGTAAATAGTAAAAAAAATAAAACTCAACACACAGGCCCATAACAGCATGTGGAAAACTTTAATAATGAATGTAAAATACATGAATACAGGCATGAAACAGCTGCCATTAACTTTACGAATGTAAAAACATGACTACAGACATGAAACAGCGGTCATTAACTTAAATTCACGTTACACAGAAAAAAAAAGTATCATATGTATTGCATAGTGAAATAGTGGTATTGTTTACACCCCTACCTCCGTTTCATGTAAAGGTTCTTGGAGAAACTTGATAAATTGTCACCAGGCCCTATTGCTCTGCATCCTGAGTCATGTTATTGTTCTCCGAAGAACTTGTCGATTCAAAGCCGCTCAATATCAGCCGTCCAGCACGGCCGTCAACTTCCCGCATCTCTGAAAACATGGCGGACCCAATCATCATCGTACACATTCAACACCAGCATATGTTTATGGGAAAAGACATCTCAATGGTCTAGAGAGACCTACTCTAATGAAAATTTGCATGTCTACATTTGCATTTTTCATACACAGATTTTCTGCCTACTGCTGTTTGATGAACTGAAAACTGAAGCGACAAGACTGAATTAATAAAGCAGTTATCATTATCAGAAAAGGGTATTAGTCCAGGTTGCAGAATGGTTAGTTCAAGATTTAGAAACAGAAAATATAAAATGAAAATGTGTCACTCAAAGGACATGAAGTTATTTGGACTAATCCGTTGAATACAATTACAAGCCATAGACCATTATCATGTTGCAGCCATTTGATTATTTCCCACTCAAATCAATGTAACCAAAGCGAGACTGTAAGGAAAAATAGTCGTGTTCCTCTTTGCACAAAAATCCCCCAAATCATTCAATACTGTTTTTTTTTTATACAGGGAACATGACTGAAATGGTGGCAGCATATAAAGGTCTATTACTGGGGTGGTATGATATACTTGCTTGCAGCTTACAACTGTGCACACTCAGTAACGGCCGAGTCCGATTGAGGTCACCAAATTAGTCCATATAATACTATGTGCATAAATGGAGGTTATTAGTAAGAAAAATGCAAATGGAGAAACTAGCTGGTTTAGTCTGAGAACAGAGAGCAGAGTTGTAGCTTGTGTTTTGAGAACACTTCAGACAACGGCATAGCCAAAGGTGGGGGTAGGTGTCGGGGGGGGGGGGGGTGTCGGGGGATTTGTTAGTCCTATAGATCATTTCGTTCAACAGGTTTAGGAGAATTTGGGCACCTCCATTTTCAGAGGGTTGAAAATGTCCAAAATAATTTTTTTTTTTTTTTTTTCATTTTAAATAAAACAGACAAAATGACAATTCTTTCAGAAAAAAAACCCCAAATTGTGGACCGAGGCTGATGGCCTAAGGTGGCCAATGGTAGGTATAAAACACGAGAATCTCCAACCTTTCTGTGAGTGAACTATTGTTAACAATATTGTCATTTCTAACTGACAATAAACCAAAATCATTGCACATAACCCATCAAAAATACTGGTTATTGCCAACTTGACCAATCCAAGAAACAAACAAACTAAACTAAAACTTATAGTTTTCCACCATTTGCAATAAAAAAAAATGGAATACCCAATGCCTGTAAATTTCACTTCATAGGTACATGGCCATTTGAGAAAAAAAAATCTTGTTTCTCTATTACGGGCCAAGAGAGAGTTTTATTTTTCCAGATCTGTATTTTGTTTTATGACCACATACCAGTGTTGTAGTCGAGTACTTTTACCGAGTACCGAGTACTGCCGAGTACTCAGATTACTGACATGACTGAGTAGAAGTACTTCCGAGTACAAGTACAGGTCTCCGAGTACGAGTACTTTTGAGAACGAGTACTTGTATGTCGAGTACGAGTGCGAGTACTTCTTTTTCCGAATACAGCCATACGGCAAATGGTTCATTGTGCATAATTGGCCCAGGCCCGGTCAGACCGATATACAGACCCACTCACGGCTAGCTGTTAAATGTGTTTGTCCGGACGTGCACAGAGAAAAATCAGGAAATTTTGATTTCTCTGCAAACAATCAACCATTTTCAGCTGAAAGTATCGATAATAAAATAAGGCCATGGTAAGTCAAGCTATACCATTTTTTTTCTTTCGAGTACTGTTATTTGAGTATGAGTACTTTGAAGATCGAATACAATTTTGACATGTCGAGTACGAGTACTTTGCTGCCCGAGTACGAGTACCGTCGTTTTGAGTACGAGTACTTTGACATTCGAGTAAGAGTACGAGTACTCTAAAAAAAAGTACTCGAATACTACTCGAGTACGAGTACTACAACACTGCCCTTTCTATGCATGTACTTCACAATCTGCAGTGGACTAGTCTGTATGAGTAGTTCTACAATGAGAAATATTTTTTTTTGAAATGTCAGAAATAAATTTTCAGGTGATAATGATGGTTACTGGATCCATGGCCTTTTGAGAAAATAAAAATTGTGTTTCTCGATAAAGAGAACTCGGCGGTGATTTCGTCCAACACAATTAGGAATGAAAAGTCAAAATGTAAAGAATTGGTTTTTGCCCCGACCAACTAAGTTACTTTACTCGTATTTCTTCCCAATAATTCTGCGTTGGGCAAAAAAGGGGGAATTTCCAATGAACAATCTTACAAAGACAATAAACATGGAGAAACATCACATTTTCACATGCATTAATAAAAAAAATTTATATAAAAATATGCCTCTACAAAATATGCATTAAAAAAGTAACAAAAAGTGGTTTTCCTATTTACACTGCATAAAGTAAATAAAAAAGTAAATAAAAACGTAACATTTAGTTTCATATTGAAGTACATAGTAGAATCTTTAAGTTATTTTGTCAGCGGACAACAAACATTTTATAACAATAGCACCATTATTACGTAGTTTACTCAATACTTGGTGGTGGGAAGAATGTAAAAATAAGAACAGTAAAAACTATAACAGATATTAATTTCTGAATTCCCTTAATTTGTGATAAATCTGTCTTCAGTTTTAAAAACAGTAACTCACGCTCAAATGACACCTCTAAAAGTCCTGGGGTTTTTTCATATGATCTTTTTAAATGTTGATAAAGCGAACATGATATACAGAGTGGATTAAAAAAAAAAAAAAAAAACGAGATATTATTGCTAATTGAAACAGAAGTAGGACACATGTGAATCAAAGGGAGATATCTTCTGTTAGGGTTGAATCTCCTCTTTATAATGACACCCTGGTCATGTCATTACATTCACGGTTGACTGAGCAGTGACCAATTTTATGAAATGGTCTATTTAGAGACTTGCCCCACTTTTCATGTGAAATCCTTTTTTTCCCCCCACCTGCCTTGATTGGCAACCATAGCCTTTCACTCTGTGACAAATGACAACACAAAACCACAAGTGAAAAGTGGCGCAATTCTCTAAATAGACCCTTTCGTAAAATTGGTCACTGCTCAGTCAACCGTGAATGTAATGACAGGATCAGGGTGTCATTTTAAAGAGGAGATTCAACCCTGACAGAGGATATCTCCCTTTGATTCACATGTGCCCTACTTCTGTTCCAATTAGTAATAATATCTCGGTTTCGGTTTTTTTGATCCACCCTGTATATTCACCTAGTTTTTCTGTAGTAACTAGTCGACTTTGCCCTACGAGTTTCATTTAATTTCAGTCACGTATTACCACAAAAAGTCAATTGATCGCAGCAACATTATTACTGGACGCTCAGACCAAGGTTGCCTTAATGAATTTCAGTGCTGTTCCTTCATGTTGTAAAAAGGGCTGCTAAATGGTTAAGTAGTTATTTCAAAAATAGTTAGACGGACAATTTTTGGAGGATATACTGTAGGTTCCCAAGTAGTGACAAAAATTGAAAACCATTGGACAACAATGTTAATGTGACTGGCCCCCTCTACCAAGCTTGTGCGTCATAAATACGCCTCATTCAGGGTTTATCTAAAACACTGCTACAAAATGAAGTGTTAGTTGCTTGGAATACACCATTCTACAAGCCATTAATTTGCAGCTCACAAATGAACATTTCCATTGAATATTGCCCAAAAATTCTGAATACTGACGTCATGTTCTAGTCATGTGCTTCACTTGTACCCATGGCCTTATCCAGAGGTGCTGGTGAACTCTTAGCACCCTCGTTGGCTAGACTTTTGTTTTCTGGTGTAGAGTGAAATTAGTCAGAGTATCACCCGTTATCCATGGAGCCCAGTCTCCGGTCCAACGTCTGATATATCTAAGCATGCAGATTTATGCGATCCCGCGCCTCAACCAATCGGAGTCGACTTTACTAAATCGTGACGTCATTTCGTTCCCAAATCAGGACAAAATGTTTGCTTGGTCAATTCGAAGCAGTGTTTTGTATTACAATGGCCGAGCGTAGATAACCTAGACAAGCTTGGCGCGTATTGCATAACATAATACACAGCGCGTGACCACAGCCTTTGTTTGCTGTGTCTGGGTTTTTTTTTTATCCATGTCTATGACGCCATAACGAGTGAATGACCGAAGACCCGATATAGAAAGCGCCCCCTGATTGGTCAAAATCTAGAGGTCAAGAGGTGGTCTTGCATAATTAATCAGCAAATCTGCTCACATATATCATAGACCATGGCTCTACGCTCACATTTTTTGGAATATTCAAATTTGGCAAAGAGCACTTTCGTTGGATGATCGAATATTTAAATATGCCGTATATTCAGCAGCAGGAATATACATCCATAGACCATGGTGTTAAAGTACCCACAATCCTTTGCATTTCCTTGAATAAAAAAAAGATAAGCTGTCACCAGTACCTTGGATAAAGTGGTAGACACAAGCGAATCCAATGCTCAAGCGCCCTCCATCGACAGATTCTGGCAGTCAAAAATGACACGACTTGTGTGTGAATATGAAGAAAGTGTTTTTTTGTTTTTGGAATCCAGTTTCTTGGAAACTGAAAAATAAAGGAAAGTTTCAATATTTCCCTTCAGCTGGCTTTGAAAAGATTGAAGTTTGATCGGAGGGTTAAACTGTCTTGTTTATAACAACAGAGGGCGCCAGAGATTCAGACACATGGCATCTTCCGGGTGCAGACCTGTAAATCGACTCCCATAGACCTCAGTGATAATTAGGCATACTTCCAAAAATTATTAAAAATACTCACAACTCTCCAAGGTGTTTGACACACCCATCAAATTAAAGCTTGTTTCATCCTATTCCAGTGACCTTTGGAAAAAAATTCCATCCAAAGATGATCACCTCTAAAAAATAGTCATGTGGCCCATCGCCAATTTGAAAAATAGAGCAATTTTAGGGCCCAATTTCATAATGGCCATCAACATCCAGTCATAGCCAATCATATAGTCGATCATTAGACAATCACAAGTCGATCACAAGTCGATCACAAGTCAATCTTAAAGTTGGTATAAACGTGCTTTTCAAGATTGTCTTTTTTGAACGAATTAAAAGGAATATGATGTCCAGTAGCAAACAAAACTGCTTGTTTGCATTTGCAGGCCTTTTTACAGTTTTAAATTTGGTTTTTAATAGCACGCTTCAGTTCAGAAAGTTTTGAGCGCAATTCTATAAATATTCAATTCTATAAATATTCATATCTAGTGATATTTCAGCTATACATTTATATGTTAATTTTTGAATCACGCGTTTTATATTTGGCTGGTCTGGCTACGGGATAATCGCAGCCGGATCGCGACACTCCCGCGCGATCATGTAGGCAATTCCATCTATTTGTTTACTCCATGATTCAATTTACGTATAAGTCGGCAAAGTGACGACTTACAGCAAAAGTCGGCATTCGCGTAAGTCGTCACAAATTCTCGGGTCCCGAGAGTGCCAACTTAGCCGGAGTTTACTGTATATACACCAACTTTAAAGATATAGTCCATCATTTGTAATTTGTGCATTTTGTTCGTTTGAAGCAACAAAGGTGTTCAAAATCTAATGAAGGATACTGAACAACTAACCTGATGAAGTTTCAGCTCAGCTTCAGCTGTATATTCCGAGAAAAACAGCATTCTAGGATCTCAATTTCAAATCAAAAGTTGCGGAATCATGTTTTGTACTGTTTTGAATTGCAGCTATATACGCGATGTCGCGCACTGATCCGACGAATTATAGCAACCGCGCGCGCCTGTGCGTCGTGCCAATGCTTGCGTGCGCTGCGACGAATAACAAAACGAACTACTAATTTAAATTTTCCTACGGTGCGTCTTAAGACGCACCGTTGGAAAGGCCTTCTTTCGTTGATTACTTCAAAATGATAGCTTGCCAGAAAGATTAATTTCACAGGGAGTTTACTCCACTTACTATCTTTCAACCAAGTATGTTTTTCAACAATAATACGCCAGTTACCTTTTCGGATGGCTGCAAATGGTGGACTATAGCTTATACAGGTTCAATAAAACAAATGGAAAGTCACACAAGTTACAAGGGAATGCCTTTGTCCCAGTTCATTTGAATAGTTTGAAGACTTGTGATGGACTTGGGAAGACTTGACTAGAACTTGAGGAAATAGTGGCACTAGTGGTATACACGTCTGAGGTAGTGTGGTGGAAATACAGACAGGATAAACTGATTACGCTGAACTGGCCTTAAAACATGCAAACAAATTGAATTCTTGGTCGGAAAAAAAGGGTAACACTCGTTTAAAAAATGTGTCATTGCAACATTTGGCTATCCAATAGCCTGCAAATGTTTGTAAGTAAATACATGTGGATTGTTGAGCACAATACACTACCCAAGCTACCTTATGTTGAACAAATTGTCAACTACTGTTTCATGACTGGAACAAATTGAAATCTCACATATGGTGTCAACAACTGTTTCATGTTTGGAAGACACAAGAATCCCAGGGGTCATCTCATTATGTCAGAGAAATAGAGATATTGTGGCAGTGTCATGGAGTGGAATACTATCATCTACAGCTATTTCATGAATGAACCACTGACAAAATCTTCAGCTGCTCAGATAAAGTAATGAAATACTGAAGTGTATGAAGGGTGTGAGCATGCGAAGTGCAGCTACATGTAACAGCCGCTATACAGTGTTTATTATACCCTTGCCGTTAGTCTTTTTATCAGCCGCTGACTCTGGCGATGAGGTCATCGCAGGCTTTTGGTTTTCCGTGAAGGTGAAATAGGAGTAGACTACACTCCCTGCAACACTGAAAGAAACAAAAAGAACAAGCTCGATCGGAAATATCTCGGAAGCTGCGGGCCAATGAATTTTGTGTTCATGCATGAGTCACGTGATTGTGCCATGTCATTTCTGGAAGGAGGAGTGTTTTGAGTAAAAAAAAATCAGCTTTTTGACCCCAGTGACCCCATAATGACCTTTGACCCCAGTATTTGGTCATGTGACATGTTGGGGTTCGGCTACTGATACTTTTGACAGAGTTTGGTTGAAATCGGTCAAAACATGTAGGAGCAATAGACAATGTGAGCTTTTGTTACTAACTAACGAAGAGACACGATGATTTGTTGAGCTGCTATCCTGCAGCTCAAAAAAAAAGAGAAGATATCTTACAAGTTAGAGCAAATATTTTTTGATAAAAACAAAAATTTTCCATTTAAAGTTTTCTCTGTCGAGTCCGTGCATGACCAGTAGATGATGCTTTCGTGACAACTTTCGAGAGCCCAGAGGATGGGACACATAGCGTACGTGTTCTGGTGCGCTATAGCGCGAAGTATAAAAAAAAGATCCCATAGCCATTACTGGCCGTAGGGGCAGTGGGATGTTAGAGGTCCACTGTGTCTTGGGCGCGCGAAGTATACACAACTATAAATTATATTCTGAATGTCCACAAAGCCATAGCGTCTTTGCGTCGGGCGTCGTCGGCAATGTATACCAATGTCCCTCCCAGTGGTCTCCCCAACTCTCCCCTTGCAACCGTTGAAGGGGGGGGGGGGGTAATTGTGAACAGGGCCCTTAGACCTAGACTGGTTCCCACTCCCATTTAAGGCCATTGATTGGATCACCTGAACACCTGCGCAGTATGATTTTTTTGCAAATGATGTTTACAGCTTTGCGTGTGGATGTCAGTTGAACACACGGCTATTGGAAAACTTACTCTTACCATTACCAGTGGGCAATATCGCCACATTGTCTGCACGAAGGCAATAAGCCATTTGCGAGTTAAATTTGAATAAAATCTGGAAAGCTGACTTAATCCAATGCTTTGCACATTTTAACTTTGCATTCTCCCGACCAAAGAGACTGTTACTACATCACCTGATTCGGGGCAAGCCTTACGCTAGCAACACCCAGCTCTGGCATGGTCTGGTGTCTTTGTGCCATTCTCACCCATTGTGAGCGATGTATTGATGCTGAGCGTCTCTTACGATACTATGCAAGAGCTTGCCCCGAATCATGTGATTAGCAACAGTGTCTTTGGTCTGGAGAATTCAAAGTTAAAATGTGCCAAGCATTCTGAGCAAGTCAGTGTACCAGATGTTATTGAAATGTAAATCCCAAAGGGTATAGGTTACTCGCAAATGGCTTATTTACAAACATTCCAACTGCATAATTTTCAAATACTGAAAAGTAGTGCCCCTCTCTTCAATGATAGCTGCCAGAGACACTTTCTAATTCAGCGAAAAATTGAAACTCATCACCACACAAACTGCCTATTAGTGGTAGCTTTGTTGCCATTTACGAACACTCATCGAAGACGCGTGACCACGCAAGGAAATGGTCGCATGACGCTCGCGCACTAATTACGAACAGAATGGGCGTTCGTGTAATTGAAATTGCGTAACATCGCGTCAGCACTTTTATCGCGAATGACCTTTGACCTGGGCTACTTAATCGAGATTACGAACTGGCTTATTGTGCATGTAGACAAAACAAGCCTCAAAACCATTTAAATAGAAGACTTTTGAGAAAGTGGTGACAACATTTCAGGCTTTTCCCATTTTATTTAGAATGCAATTTACACCTCCTTTTTGAGGGGTAAAATAGCTTACAGGGTGCCACAGAAAATTGACTTGATGATTTACTAAATAAACATTTTAATGAATTAAAATAATGTAAATAAACCACTTACCTCATGTTGAGGCCGACGAAGTTGACCACACTGAATATATAGTCCCCTCCAAAAAATATACCAATGTAGGTTATCATTATATTCTGCAAAAAAAACAAAATTAACAAAATGACCAACATCGTAATCTCCTTCCTGCGCCGCATTAGGGGCTGCGCCGCGCTAGGGGCTGCGCCACGCTAGGGGCTGCGCCACACTAGGGGCTGCGCCACGCTAGGGGCTGCGCCACGCTAGGGGCTGCGCCACGCTAGGGGCTGCGCCACGCTAGGGGCTGCGCCACGCTAGGGGCTGCGCCACGCTAGGGGCTGCGCCACGCTAGGGGCTGCGCCGCGCTAGGGGCTGCGCCATGTTAGGGGCTGCGCAACCTTAGTGGCTGCGCAACCTTAGGGGACCTCCACAATACTGATCATTCAAATTCATCATTGCGTACCTTGAGACAGCCCACAAACGTCGTTGTCAGAGGCGAGTTGTGCGCTGTGCAGAGCACCACTGAATAAATTAATATAAACCTGAATACAGAAAGACAAAGTCAAGATGTCAAATGTAAAATGGTGGTCTTCAAGACAAGGCAGCACCTCAAAAGTCGGAACGTTCCTGTTTCAGGCTGTTCCCGAGTAAGCATGCATGCGCATAGACCAACGTTCCCTCAGGGAAGCACCTGACACTCCCGGGTAGTTCCCATTGGGAGCAACGCTAGTTCCCAATTGGAACAGGCGATGTTCCCCGGCGGCACATTACAAACATTCTAATTTTTAGATGTTCCCTACGTTTCATCATTGTACACAGAATGCTTTTAACCTTTGAATTAGGGGTAATGTTTGGTGACATAATGGGAAATAGCTTGGAGTTTACCTTATGTTAAGAAGAACAAGATAAGGCAAGCCTATCAGAGCTGGTCTTAGAGTACACAATATTCTATTCAATAAGCCAGTTCGGTATTTCAAATGCGCATGCACACAATGACATGGGTCACGGGTCATGCAGGATAATCGAACGCCCATCGAAGGCTTTTCAGTCAAAAGTCAAAATAAGCCAAAAATTTACAAATATTTCAATGGGCCTTAGGCATGAGTCAGCCATATTGAATTGCAAGTGAGGTAAAATCTTCAATTTTGAAACTTGCAAAGAGAAATGAAAGCAAGTAAATTACTAATTAATTCAAGTCTGCTTTAATGAATAATTTAAAAATGGTAATTAAACATTCCCTAATGTTTTAAGCAAGAAAAAAAAAAGGACAGTAAAATAAGGCTGCATAAATAGTCTGGCGCCATCCCATTCAACAGTTAACAATTATGAAATACATTCAGGGAACTCGACAAAAATGGTTAACTCATGCATAAGGCCCATTAATTTTACTTCATGTTTGTGAAACACCCTTCTTACCATGTCTATAGTATGTGCCTCATGCACGTAGTGCTAAAAATCTCTTAAATGGAGATTGGTTCACGCATGGTGCGTAATGCACGATGGGGCGCAGAATGCAGCAGTGTTTTACTGGCGGTTTAAAACAACCCATGTGACGGGCTCTCAACCAATAGGAATTGGTAAACTGTCTGAATTATTTATGAATACAATGTAATACAGGTGCTAATGAGTTGATAAACACAAACAATGACTCACCCTATTATGGAAGACAATACAAACTGTACAATAAATGTGGGATCGTTCCATAAAGGAAACGCCCAGACTTTCTCAATATCGCCGGAGGAGTAGCACACGAAGAGAGCAGGAACTATCATGAAGAGGGCATTGTAATACAAAAGTCCGTACTTTCCCAAATCCTGAAAAGTGAAGCATAAGAAATACAGGGAGCGCTCATTAGTGCACTTTTACCCTGATACGTCAACAGTCGGCTGTCTATTTTAAAAAAATTAAATATTCAATTATTCAAAAGCAATGGCAGCCATTTTGAAAATTGCTTGGAGAAATATGCAATGGCCCTGTGAGCCTAATATCTTTCTCATGACACAGTTACTTTCAAAAATGCATCTCACCTTGGATTCTAGCTTTTTCTTGATGAATACCCCGTTGGCAGCTGTGAAAAAGTCATTCATAAGAATGTAGAAATAACCTAAGGCATCAAACGCCAAATCGCCACTGTGGAGAGAACAGACAAAAAGTGGTAAAAAAATCTATTATCTTTTTTATAATTACTTTTTTGGATCAAATGTATCAAAATTTAAAAAAATACATAAAAATACTTCCAGGTAAAACCTTAAAGATGCATTCCCCGTGCTATTTCGAGTTTCACCTCAAAAAAAAGATTTTGTTTTTTCAATTGCTATTTTCCTAGAAATAGAAAAGTTGGGTCATTTCATGTCAGATCACCCAATAGGTTAAACCCCACCCCCATTAAAATTGGTTCATATTTAGTGTAATTTTGGCTGAAAAAGCTGTAATTTAAGTTTTAGTGCCGTTGGATCAACGGTTTTTACGCCACCGTCCATAATCTGTTGGCAATGTTGGCCAAAATGGGCGTGGCCGCCAACTTTCAAATGACCCAAGGGCCAAATTGTTAGATTTTGGTTTCTTTGGATACGTTACATCATAAGAAATCCAAACTGACCATTACTTTTCATGTCAGAGCTATTTGAAGTATGACGACCTTTTGACCTTGAATTTCACCTTGAATTTGACCTTGTGGATCATGTGACCATGAGACGAACTTGGATCAAAATTATACCCCAACATGTTTTCTACACAATATCCAAAAATTGGGGGCTTAATATTTTTTATTTACTTTGTAGCTCATCTTAAGTTGGCATACTTGTTGCAAATTCATAAGACGACTAAAATTTAAATGAATAAGCCTAAATCACCCCATTCACTAAATATGAGCCACTTTGAAGGGGGTGGGGTTTAAAAAACGTTCAATTTTTTTGGGTAATTTGACACGGAACGACCCTTATCCAGGATATTTATTGCGATGTTTTCTTACCTTGCTGCAACAAATGCACCCAGTATCATCACGCAGACCACTATCTGTACCTTCAGAGAAGCTTTATGTCTGAAAATTAACACAAGTTGTAAATGTCAATAAAAAATCTGCGATTGACTTGTGATTGACTCGAGATTAACTTGTGATTGTCTTGTGATTGACTAATGATTGACTTGTGATTGACTCGTGATTAACTTGTGATTGTCTTGTGATTGACTAATGATTGACTTGTGATTGACTTGTGATTGTCTTGTGATTGACTAATGATTGACTTGTGATTGACTCGTGATTAACTTGTGATTGTCTTGTGATTGACTAATGATTGACTCGTGATTAACTTGTGATTGTCTTGTGATTGACTAATGATTGACTTGTGATTGACTCGTGATTAACTTGTGATTAATTTGTGATTGTCTTGTGATTGACTAATGATTGACTTGTGATTGACTCGTGATTAACTTGTGATTGTCTTGTGATTGACTAATGATTGACTTGTGATTGTCTTGTGATTGACTAATGATTGACTTGTGATTGACTCGTGATTAACTTGTGATTGTCTTGTGATTGACTAATGATTGACTTGTGATTGACTCGTGATTAACTTGTGATTGTCTTGTGATTGACTAATGATTGACTTGTGATTGACTCGTGATTAACTTGTGATTGTCTTGTGATTGACTAATGATTGACTTGTGATTGACTCGTGATTGACTTGTGATTGACTAATTATGGACTTATGATTGACTAATGAGTGGCTTGTGACTAGATTTCAGCTCCTAGGAGAAGAATCAATAAAAACTGTCAATCATTTGTACTTACCCTAAAACGATGTATTCTCCTATCATTGTAAATAGAATAGAGAATCGCCTAAGCACTGTGAACATTGGTAAACTGTGAAAAACAAAAACAGGTGTAAACAGAACAATTACCAATTCGTTTTTATCAAGCAATGCTTGCACCAGTTCACAGATATGTAACCGATTGCAAACAAAATGTGGACTAACTAAATTTGGTAAATTTGGGGCAGTTTTTGAAGAAAAAAAAGTCATTTTGTTTTGAACAATGGTCGGCCAACTATCGTTGGAAATTGAGACAAAAATTCCACTTTTCTTGCAAATGACAGCACACCGTGCCATGATTTCACAGGATGCTTGAGACTATTATTCAGTTACAGTCAAGTAAGGTATTTCATAATAATTTGGTAGTTTTGTTTTTTGATGTTTGCCAATGTTGTATATATTACTGTTAAAGAAGAGCTTATTTCAAACATGCCCAATAGTTTGACAAAAACAATACAGTGCCAAGTATAGGAAGCATTTTTTTTAAACCCTAACTCCCTAGGCCTTTTTGCTAGGATATAGCCTCAATCCTGCAAATTCCTCAATTATTTCTTGAATATGGTCTGTGGAGGGGTGACCACTGCCTGAATCCTGCAAAATCCTGCGGCAGTGACTGTCAATATGTTGAGGCTTGGCCAGTGACATCCTGTAACAGTACGGAGAATTTCAAGCATAATCCAGGCCTATATTTATGCATGGCTGAGCAAAAACACAAGGTTCGGCCCAAGACCTTGACAAAGTGCATCCTACGAAATCAGTAACTTTTTTTGCCATGTAACCTCAATCCTCCAAATGCCTCCACTTTGGCAAAGAGGATTTTGAAGCATTCAGGGCGGTTATGGTTAAATGGTTTCCTTTCATAATTCATTCTAAGTAAAGTGGACTTTTCCCAGCAAAAATCTCAGGTATGCTAGCTTCGAAGGCTAGTAATTCTAGCCCTTATAAGAAGGAAACGAACATCTGAGCACACCCACTTTAATCTCTTCGTGCTTCCGAGGCCAAAACACAGATTGCCCATGTAGACTAACGGCAGAGGCCATATCTGGAGAAAAAAAGGATTTGGAAGGTGTAAGTGGTTTCCTGAAGCCCAACTTCCTGGGAAGTTTATCACTAGGCGAATTTCTGAATCCATCAAAACTAACACTACAGGGTGAGTAAAAAAAAACCGAAACCCAAATGTTGGGACCATTGTTTTAGTGAAGTTCTACATGTAGCACTTTCAAAATCTAGGATATAAAAACCCCATTCATAAGCTTTCTTTAAGTACAAGAATCATTCAAATCACTCACGTACTTTTCAAGTTACGGAATTTTAAACACAACCACCGTTTTAAGGTTCTGTCCACAGATCACAAAAAAGTTCAGTGTTCTTTCAGCAAAACGAAAACAAATCACATACGGATGTGTGTGAACTGTTTTTGTTTTGCTGAAAGAACTCACCCTTTTTTTGTGATCCGTGGACAGAACTTAAAAACGGTGGTTGTGTTTAAAATTCCGTAACTTGAAAAGTACATAAGTGATTTGAATGATTCTTGTACTAAAAGAAAGCTTTTGAATTGGGCTTTAATGTCCTAGATTTTGAAAGTGCTACATGAAGAACTTTTTTACTCACCCTGTACACAGTGATTTAAATTTAAATTGTTTTGCACTTTAAAAGCCAAATTGTGACATCAAGACAAGGTAAAATAATGGCGTTTGAAACCTGAAGAAATACATCCATAAGGTAAAAACAGACTCTTAGGTACTTTTAAAGAATTTAACAAATTTGGAAATAGAGGGGGTATACTGCCCTGAAACAGCCCCCAATAATGTGTCTTTCTCAGCCGAAAAAAAAATACACACAAAAAAACCCACAAAAAACTAAATTGCGACAGGTAATATTTGAATTCATTTTTATTAAGGGAATAAATGTGTGCTTGGGAGGTGTTAAACACTACGTTTAAGACTGCTTGGAGTCTGGAATGCTGATAATTACCCGAGACAAAACAGTCAAAGAATAAAAACTTCCAACGATTTTGTTCAACAATTTCACTTTCTGTTTTTCGAAACACCCCTCGAGCTAAATAATGGAGTGTGCAGCTCGCGAGTAAGGCGTAAACAACTCCTTTGATGGAGATTGGCGCGCGCATCGCTCGTACTGCGCGATGACGCGCAGATGCAGCTGTGGTGAGTGCATTGTGAATTAAGGACTATGAAATACTGACCCACTGGTAGTATTGTGCATGCCTACGTGAGGATTGTGAACACTCAACCAATAAAAGGCACTGGATTTCTAGGAGTCCAAACGACCAATGGGAATTGGTCAAGCATCTTAGGTATTTATGAATATTATTCAAAGGTAATTGAGAACAAGTTCCACTGTGACAATATTCTAGTTAAAAAAAAGGTACAATAATATTCTTAGAAATGTTCAAATGCAGAGGGCAAAACTGTTTACCTTTGTGATAATCTGTCTGCTCCAGTCCGGGAAGCTCACAATGCGCAGCTTTTTACCCACGTATAACACCAGAATTGTAGTGACCATCTAGACGTGACAAAAAATTTAACAAGCCACCAACGTTACATGAAATGGTGCTGCTGCTCTCCAGTCAATCACAAGTCAAATCACGAGTACAATGGGTTGAACGTACACTTGTCAATGCATTTGTCACAGTTCAGTGGAGTGAATACACTCAACCAAAAAAGAAAGTCACCCCTTGCAATACATTTTGCTTAACTCCAAAACTACTGAGCACTTCTCGCTCAAATAACGACTAATCAGTACAGAAATTCCTAAGCAATCCAGCCATACTCTTTATTTGGCCCAAAACAGTGATAATGTGTACGAATTTATGCAATTTATGACAAATGATACCGAAAACAGTTGCACTTTTGTATTACGTGAAAGTTGTGGTTCACACTCACCTTGCATGTATACAAAAGTGCAACTTTTTGGGGGTACCATATGTCACAAACTGCATAATTGTGTACATATTATAACTGGTTTGGGCCAAACAAAGAGTTTGGCTGGATTGCTAAGGAATTTCTGCACTGATCAGTTGTAATTTGAGCAAGATGTGCCCAGTAGTTTTTGAGTTAGACAAAAAGTATTAAGGGGGGACTTCCTTTTTTGGTTGAGTTTATCTAGTCACTTGGCTTAAGACTGAATGACTTGTGATGGACTTTTGATCAACTGGTGCACATACTGGCAGAGATTTGCAAAAACTGGATAATTTTTGAGACTGTTCTAATTTTAAATTTTTGAGACTGGTCATATTTTTTAATTTTATTTTGTAGGGTTTGGAAAATTGTGAGTCCCCCCTCCCCCCTTGAAATGGGTATTTTTTTTCTGTGCAAGTGGCCCCAATTTTTTTTACGTTTGTGAAAATGATTAAGAACAGGAGGGAGCATTAAAATTACAGCAGTAGTGGTTTTGAGCTGCTGGCATTTTCGTTTCCTTTTAAAAACTTTCACATTTCATTTTGCATCTTTTTTATAAATACTGATAAAAAAAAATCCCCCTCCCCACTGGATTTGCCACTGTTGAGTTGGGTTTACTCAATCACATATTTATTCAACTGTGCAAAATCCATGGGTGAGGTATTATATAACAGTTATGGACTGTACATTAAGTATCCAAAAAAATATATCCTCCCTTGCTGATCCATAGAGGGTTCTATTTCCTCCAAGATCCACTTTGGGGAAATAGTTTGCCATAAGGATCAAACAGTCAATATTTGTACATTATAACACACCTCTTGCTTGTTCTTTATCCTGGTTGGCTGAAACGCGGTCACATGTGATTCACTAATATAGGCTAGTGTATGAAACTTGCGTCAGCGTGAACTAGACCCGGGTCAAGACATCGTGCGTGCGTAATTTCCAGAGTATAGTGCCTGATCGGGCTCTATACTCTCAAATTTTTGACTGGTAACAGCGCCCTCTGACAAAACTCAAACTCGAAAAATTAATTTAGGGAAACTAAAAGCGTTCCTTTAATTGTTGAATTGCTTACAGTTGCACTGCTTATGAGTTAATTGTTGAATTAAAACAGTTCAATAATAAAGCCCTGAAAAGTTTCTTTTCTTATTTTAAAGTTTGGACAGAGGTGAGTTATAAAACACATTATAGACTGGCAGAATTGGGTCACTTGTGCACGTCTATGCCCCCCTCGGGCCTGTGAGTGACCAGAAGAGGGTCCTTTTTCCCTCCGCCCCCCATCTATAGTCCCTTGGGGCGCATAGGGTTGCAGACCAGTAAATCGGTCCGAAATTGCCTACGCCAGCCAAATCACGATTTGCATGCCCTCAAAATCTTCAGCATTTGAGAATACTGTGGGCCATGAACTAGGGGGTTAATAAAAAATATGGGTGGCAGCCGTGCACAGGACTGGGAGCTTGGGGATAAAATTGGGGCCCTAAAAGCGCTCTATTTTGCAATGGAGTGTAGGCAACGTTTTTCAAAATGGCGATGGGCTGCAGGACTATTTTCAGGGGTGATCATCTTCGGATGGAAATTTCTCCTAAAAGTCACCAGTTGAACCCCCGTAAATTGAAAAGAAAATGAAAGATGATGAAATAAGCTTTAATTTGATGTGTGTCTCGAACACCTTGGAGAGTTGTGAGTATATTTCCCGAATTTCTGAAGTGGGAGCATTTACCATTGGGGTCTATGGCAGTTTATTTACTGGTCTGCAACCATAGACATGCGCTAGTGACCTCATTGCTAGTCTATATGTGGATATTATGCAAGTACATACTGGTACATGTACATTGTATCTATAGAAGATTGTTTACCAATAGTTTATGTCAATACAGGTAATGGTTAGTAAAGCTTTGGCTCTAGCTGTTTATATTTACTGAGGACTAATGAATATTCATTTTATCTACAGAAGATTGTTTACCTATAGTTTATGTCAATACAGGAAATGGTTAGTAAAGCTTTAGCTGTGGCTGTTTATATTTACTGAGGACTAACGAATATTCAGGATATTCAGATGGAGTGAGGGAATGTAGAGTGAGGCCAGCAGGTGGACGGGGAGGGGCAAAGGGTTGGGGGTTGGGTGTGGTGAAATGGGCTCGGAGGAGCTAGGGTTCAGAGGTTGGAAGGGAGGCAAAGTGAGGGAGGCAATGGGAGTTCTGAGTTAGGATATAAGGCTAGAAATGGGTTAGGCAAAAAAAAATAGTTTTGCTTCCGGTTTCCCTTCCTACCCTATTCTGACAGCCCCAACCCAATTTTTTTTATAAGAAAAATGAGAACAAAACACCCAAAACCATCAATTTCTACCTTTTACCCTTGATTACACGCAGACGCCTCCATATGATCGTACACAAAACAAAATTGGGGAAAAAAAATTCCCTACCTACCTACCTACCTACCTACCCTATTTTGAATGCCATGTAATCGGACACAGTATGTTTTTTTTGGGGGGAAGGGGGAAGTGGGGCAACTTCGGGGGAGTGGGGGGAGGGCACGTATCCCCAAACAGATGTCCGTGCCCCCCCCCCCCCCCACCCGGTGTCCCCTGTTTAAAATCTTGATTTGAACAAAAAATATATCATGTGCCTTCAGTGCCACCCCTTCACAAATGTACAGTCGAATCTCGTTAGTACAAACTCTGTTAATACAAAATTCTGGTTATAACAAACATAAAGCCTTAGTCCCGACTGTGCATTTATGTGCACAATGAATGGGACTGATGTTTCTCTTAATACAAAATTCTGATATAACAAACAATTTGGCTAGGTCCGAACATAACGAGACTCGACTGTATATATAGCCCCTGGATCTTCCCTGGTAAGGGGGGTGGGGGGATCGAAGTCAGCTAGGGGTGAGGGGTTGGGAGAAGGGGTGGTGAAGGGAATCAAAGGGGTATAGGTGTAAATGCATAAGGAGGATGGAGTTCATGGCACAGCAACTTGGGAATGGAAGGAGCAATTCTCAATTCTTTGTTGTGCACTGAACATTTGAGGAAGATGTTGCGCACTTTAGAAGAAGTCTGCTTTTCACTCTTAAATGATTAACTCGGTACAACAAGTGGACTTAAGTGGTTACGTTTATGTACATGTTTACCTGTCCGACACCAAGGAACTGGAAAGATGGGAATCTGAAATAAAAGGGACATGGGGAACATTCTTATTGGTTTTGGACAATGACAAATAACACAAACATTTGCTATAGGCCTACTTGGCCCCCTAAACAAAATGGAAAAAAAGCTGGACAAGGTTCAATTTCCCGGGAAACGTTCCAACATCCAAGAGGCTGATATTTTCTTCAAGAGCGTAAACAACTCCATGACAAAGAACAATGGCATTGAAAGACAACTGTTTCGCCATAGACCATTCTCGGAAAGAATGTTACATCCTGACTTTTTTGTCATATAATAGGCTTATATTTATAATCATTATCTCAATGAAGGTCAGTCATTGGAATTTATGGGAAAATATTGAACTGTTAACACCTGTATGAATCTGAGACTGAGATACATTTTCAGAAAGATTTTCATATCTGGAAATCACTTGATGACACCCTGTGCATGCACAAACCCTATGAAGTATGAGACTAGTCTGCACAAATTTTAAAGTGTTGTCTCATTTACGTGCATCAATATTTTTCCTGCGAGTGCTAAATTTTACTTTAATTTAAGGACATGTTATTGCTTTCTGAAAGCTGATAGGCTAGGTCAGTACTATTCAGGGAAAAACTAGTGATGTCCATGTATATAATTCTTTCCGAACGAGTTGCATCTACAACTGTGTAACTACAGACACTGAGACAGTCGGTTTTGCCAGTGTGAAACTTGGAAGTTTGTGCAATAAACATGTGTACATACATGTACATGTACACTGTCTGTGTAGACGTGTCGGATGTCTAAGCACTGTTTCATGGTTTAACCACGATTTGGCTCAGAGCTCACTTACTTGTAATTCGTCAGAACACTCTTGTTTACCATAACAAGTGTAAATGATGTCAATCCGTAGAAGAGGGCAGACAAAATACGAACAATTCTTGTGTGCCTGCTGTGATCTGACATCGTTCGTTCCGCCATCTTGTTGACTCTCAATCGCGTGTGCGGCGTGTTTACGTTACACGTCGAACAAGAGAGCAAGACGGCTGGAGTCAACGTCTACACTAGTGTACTGTGGCCTCAAAATGCCCCGCATAAAGAGATATTTAATATTTGGAGCTAGCTCGTACTTGCGATGGCGCGACAACATGTACTTTCTCTAGCTCATTCTCAATATTTATCATTTTTTCGAGAGTGGGCTGGGGGGGGGGGGGACATTTTCCCACCCCACCCCCAGTGACACCCCTGCGGACGCCCATGTTGTGAAATGTGCATTAAATTAAATTAAACAGCAGTATGACTTCACACCTCGTCTTCTTTTTTCTCTCTCTCTTTTTGTTGTTGTTGTTGTTGTTGTTGCAGTTGTTGCTTTTCCGGGGTGGGGGTACCCCCCCCCTTGCGACGCCCATGGTGGGGGATCCCAGATCCGCCATAGTCGCTATTGCCCTTTGCGCGGCAGTGGCGTAATGGCCGGGTGCATGCATGGACAACTTGGGGACATAATTCCTGAAGAGACCCTGCTGGTTTAAGCAGTAAAAACACTTTTTGCCTCTCCCAAAGTTCGAGTGGGGGACAAGTGCGGGGGGGGGGCACAAACTTTGTGCCGGGGGACGTTCCTCCTTGCCCCCTAATTATCTTAACGGCCAGTTGGACAACAGAAATCCGCTGGAGGTTTATTCTCACTGCCTTCCGGATTGATGTCCTTATAGAGGGACAGTGTGTGTGTGCGTCATAGCGGCTATAATTTCCATATTCCTGTACTTCAAAGTAAACGTTTAAAAGTATAACATTTTTGTTTGGCTTGGTTGCGTTTGAGCCATCTTTTACAAGAGAGCACTTTCATTCTTTTCTCTTTTTTTGTCTTCTTGGCAAAAAATGGGCAAAAATTACTCACATTGACACCAACTGGTATTGATAAATATTACAAACTGGTATTATAATTGCCTTCTTCCCCGCTTCTTCTCTTCATATTTCACTTCAGTTCGCGATACTTACAAGTACATATTCACCGGTCACGTCTAGTTCCTCGTTTGTGGAATGGGATTCAGTCTATAAATCACAGTCCTCTGTAGGCAAATTTCAAGTCAGTTTCAAGAACCATCTTTTATCGCATTACATATAAGTAGCACAGTATCTTCTCTTTCCCCGTCATGACCAGTTTTGTTGCTCCTCGTGGTATTTATCTATATATAGGTTTTCCCGGACAATTTCGGAAAATGTGCGTTTTAATTTGAAAATCATAAATTCAATTTGGCGCTGAGTTTGAGAACGACGTACATCCCGGTTTCATTTTCGCAATAACTAGCATTCGATTTCATTTTGCATCAATCAAATGAATGAATGTGCATAACGTTTCATTTAAGGGATTTCAAATACGTGATTAGGTTTTCGGATTGACGGATGCGTTGCCGATTATTTCGAATGTGCAATCCAATTCGCAAAAAATCGATTGTCTATTGTGACACGGGCTGAATTGAACATTCTTTTTCATTTGTTACAATTTAAATTCGCATTTTCTGCATTCAATTTAAATAAATTATACGGGCCTATACAAATCATGATACAACTTTGATTCATTAATTAATCAAGGTATGCCTTATTGATCATTAATGTATTTTTTCTTATAAACACAAAGGCCTATGCGAAATGTAGGCAAATGAAATGTGAAAATGATATAAATAATTATGACCAATATGAAATTAATCAAAATTATCTTGTAGCCATTTTATTGAAACGATAAAGGGACACATCGCGTGTCATGTTACATGGGATCTGCATGAGGACTTTTTGTTGGTTCTTTACCTTAATTGTATTTGAATTTCTTTATGTATTTCTTAAGCTTCTCTCTCGTTTTATCAGTTCGATTGTCTATCCTTCAATGACCTGTCTACCAAGACATCGAGGGAGATATATCTGAGAATGGTTGTACCAGGCGGTGCATTTCGCAGGTGTCACTTCTCCAATGTTGAGTGCAGCCACCTCCTGGAGACGGAGGGATCTCCAGACTTGCAGGTTCACTCTTGCGTCTTGGTCTCCAAATCTGTCCTGCGATTCAGGAAGCACCAGCGTGCGCTTCACTCCCGCATTGAAAGCTGAGTGCGCCATTTCCGTTGGATTTAAGAATGGCGAGTATGGTGGCAGCAGCTTGATGGTGAAATTGCTGGCATCAGGGGGTAGTTGGGCTCGGATATGAGGACGAGCGTTGTCATATATCAGATCATGCGTTCGCCTGCCGGGAATAACATACCACATTCTTGTACAGTCGTCGCTAAGAACTCCTCAAAAGTCGCTCTCGTCACAGTCTCTGATGGTATTCTGTGAGCCACAAGTCCAACCTCACCAGAAATGGCAAACGTGATGTTGACTTGTTTGCCTCTCTGGCCATGGACGACACGCCTGCTGGCTCTCCACGAGGAGCGCGACCATAAGACCGACAGGTCCATACGTTGTACCCGGTCTCGTCAATGTACACAGTGTGGCCAAGGACACCAACCTGAAGAAACCAATTTCCAAATATGACTCGTGCATCTAATGTGCGTGGCTCATTCCTCTGTTCTGGAACATCTTCCGCTAGTTTAAGAGTTATAAGCATACCATCTAGAGTTCTAGTGATGGTACTAGTGGTCACGAAGGGCTTATTGGGAAGATCAGCTCGCATGCAGTTGAGTATAGAGTTGACGCAAAGTTAGAAGGGGTTGTCACCTAGATATCCTTAAAGGGCATCGCTCATGTCGTCGTCAACCGTCTGGTTTATGGGTCCTCCTTTCGGCAGCTTGTTACGACGACCATCCCGGAGATAAAGGCCTACGCCAACGATTGATCTGGCCGCTGAGTGCTTGATACCCAGCGTATCTGCTACCTGCAGATAGTCAGCGTCGTCAGCCTCAAAGGCATCGATGAGGCGATTTCGGTCAACGTCCGAGATTCGTCTGTATCTCCCTCTTGCAGCCATTATTGGATATTTTAGGACTATGTGAACTGAGACACTAGGCTATATGATGCGATTGTGGCAAATTCTGAGCAGAAAAAAAACCCGATTTTCTTCAGTTTTGTTTTTATATAGGATTTATTACAATACATGAAGTTGGTTTGTTTCAAAAGACTACACCACTAGGTTTTATCTCAATCATCATGAATATTCAAAAATGCAATCATTCAATCAACCATTCCTCAAATGTTACTTTAACACATTAATGAATTCCAATGCTTGACCAGGCAAACGTTAAATAACACTGCGAGGGAAATCGGCTGCACATTTAGCGAAAAAGATTGATGATAAATTAAAAGGAAAACAGGATTGCGGATGTGCCTTCGATTTCGCGCTAAAATGAATTGTCAATACACTAATTGCAGTGCACATTCGGGAAATCGTTCGCTGATTTTTTACGACTGAATGCACCTTCACGGGAAAAGACTTATCATTTGTTAAATAGAAACAGAGATTTGGAACGTTCATTCTATTTCGCATGAAAGCGAATGCTTTTTTTACAAATTTGTGTACACATTTTCCGAAATTGTCCGGGAAAACCTTTAGTATAGGTTTTCCCGGCCAATTTCCTAAAATGTTCATTCACTTCTGAAAATCGGTCATTCTTTTTCGTCTGAATTTGAGAATCGCTCTGAACACGAGTTTCATTTTCGCTACCAGAGCATTTGATTTCATTTCAGTTCAATCAATAATTAAGTGACTGCGCAGCACATTTCGTTTATGCTCATTCAGATTAGTTTTAGACTTCCTTTTCGCTTTTAGAGGGCGATTTCAAACATTGGTCATTTTATTTCACTTTCAGTTTAATGTTTAATATGTGATGAAATCTGCCATTTTGAATGAGAAAAAATGTACATTTGATCGCACATTCACGAAATTGTATGCCAGAACTCTGCACGAAAAGGTATGCTTGCGTAAACGAATGCATAGGTAACGTAATTGGCCGTCTGTTTCTCGAAACCGAATGCACGGAAAATGAAAACGATTGAACTTTCGCTGAATTGAACTGGGATTAAAGATGTGCATTCAAATTAACACAATTTTAGAAAATTGGCCGGGAAAACCTATAGTATCTCTGGGTTCCGGCAGTGATGAACCTATAGATATAGAACTATTTTTTTTAATACATAAGACGTAGCTCTAATCTATATCTATGTGATGAACACGTAAACGACGCCGATCGGCTATTCAGAGCATAGATATAGAACTTAATACAATTGTAAAGTCTATGATTCAGAGCGCACGCCCTATTTGGCGTGCGCTTGCGCGTTATGCACGTCACGTTATGTACGAACCATAGATATATAATAAAAAGATTATTCTATACCTATGGTACGAACATTTGTTTTTAAACTGCGCGATGCCTGTCAGATCACCTGATGCAATTAAATGGTGTTGTGGCAAGAACCGCCAGATCCACCCCCAAGAAATAGAAAGCTTAATTTAGGTCTCTATTCCCCAATAACACCTCCATTTTACGGCTCTTGTATTAGGAGTGCATACTGTTTTTTCAAACAAACACACACACACAAACAATTAACGGAGATTACTAATGGTGTAATTTTTCAATAGCTTTTATTATGAACATCTTCCAGAGATGTGTAACATTGGCATCAAAACATACACAGACACTGATAGAAAAATAAAGAAATGTCAAATGAACAAAACGGCAAAATATCCTTTTGGATTATATAGAGGACACTATAATCATGGATCCTCACTCCAAGGCTCATAGGCCTAAATGGCATTCTTGGTAACGAGGTTGGCATCCGTGCGTACAGTGTAGAGCACACATGGAGCGCCACCATGTGTCCACTACATGTTTACCCCCTTCAAACTCATTTTACAGCCAGAAATTGTTTTGAATTTTGAAATTTTGGAAAGTATTCAAAGAGAGGATAAATGAGAGCTCTCCATAAAACAAATTAGCAGATGAATAGCGCAGAGGTCCACCTAAGTAAAAAAAAAAATGGCAGCAATCCGTATTTTGTGGACTTTTTGCACGCGTAGTAATTCCTGGCTCGGCGATGGCCGCATTGATATAACGCCTACTTTGATTGGTCAATGTTCCCAACATCATAGCGCCTAACGGGGACAAATTTACCGGGGGGTTTAATGTTTGAGCAGGGACAGATTTTACTCGAAGGGGGATTTACCTATAGGTAAATGTGTCCCCGGACAGATTTACTGGGTTGTGAGCCGGTAAATATCCAGGGACACATTTCCGGGGGGGGGGGGGGGGGGGGGAAGGTGACACACACAATTATCGTTTAAAACCGGCAATGAGCTTTTAGGCTAAGGGTAGGGCAAGATCGTTATTTCCACAGAATTGTACGTGTCATATTGGCACCAATTAATGCGGGCTGTACGTTCAAAACATATATAGACTTTTTCGCGTCCGACATTACTATAAGAGCACATTCAAGCGGCCAAAGCTTTAATATCAGTGCAACCATTTAAGGATCCATAGCATGCTAATGTTCATGTATTGTTTCACTGAGTCCCGATCCACCTCAATACCTGCAGCGTGTGTATTTATGATAATTGACGTAGCTTCTAGAGAAAGTGCCCCGGTTCCGCTTGAAGCAGAGGGCGGCCTGGCGGTCGCATTCACAGGCTCCAGCAGCGCAGTTGGTCTTCCAGAAGACGGCCAGTGACTCTAGCCAGTTGTACTGCCTTGCACGCTCTGGAAAAAAAATCAAAAAGAGAAACGAATCAGTGTAGTTCATCTGGCTTGCTTTACGATATATTCTGCGCTTGAGCACATGAAGAGTTGATCTTTTTAAGTTTTGGAAGAATGAATCCGCTGTATGCGAGCAAAATCTTAGAGGTTGCCGGCGAAAGAATTGAAAAGAAAGAACATTTTAGTAAGTTACGAAATAGGCCAACCCAATCTGATGATAATGTGTACGTTGTATACATATATTTTTCCTTCGATGAGGGAATTAACCATGAATTTCAATCATCTGCAGGTCTTGTTATCATTGTAATTTCCCCATATTAGACAGCTTACGTTTTTATCTAGAGAAGTAAATAACGTCGAATCTTGATTTTTATATTCGTATATGGAATACCGAAGTGTACGTTTGTTTGATTTTACTGCCCAAAATTTTCATTTTGTTCGAAGCTATAGGTTTCTTAACCTCACACTTGACAATACCTAGTCTAACAGCACAATTATACGTACCCAATTGCATCTTTAAAATATATTACTTGCACGGGGCGCCCCAAACGGTGGAAGTTTTTGTTATTTTTCAGCTCAGTAACAGTGAAAAGAAAAAATTGTCTACCTGTGCGCATCATGAGATAATTAAAGAACCTTCCCTAATATGTGACGTCAAGGCGTCTATGGTGCATGTAAAGTTAATACAAGGCCACTCCCAAAAAGGCGTTCACTTTTGGTACAGAATCGAAGACTGTCGGCCTGGGGGTTTGGTCGGCATCAAATGAGGGGAATAATGCTCATGCTTGTTACCACATTAAATTAATCCGGTAAAGAGCATATTGGCGGCCTTTTGGGGGGAAAAAAATAAGAGATAACACCCCAAAAACTGCCACCGCTCACACTGCAAAGCTATCACACATTTTTCAACTCTAGATGTGCATATCTTGCCAAAAATCGATATGAGCATTGCTCCTTTCGATCATTTGACAACCGTCGGTGGCCCAATTTTTGGACCGAAGCTGATAGCCCATAACTTCATATCCGGCAATACACTTACTGCATGTGATCTGGACGTTACTCTGTCCACAGTTCTTTTGCTTCGATCGATACAGCATGGTGTACACGTCCCCAGTTTCCTTGACGCAATGACCGTCGCTCTTGAGTCTTGAATAGCACTGGTCATGCGCATAGCAGCACCTGCGTGTGACAAAACATCGGGCTTGAATTTTGAAGAAAAAAAAACCACGCACAAGTTTTCGCATCGATCATCAGAGATACGTATGCATTACAGGCACACACAGAAAGTTTTTAATCCATTGGATTGTTAATTTTGTATTAAACTCGGTATTCATAAATACCTAAGACAGGTTACCCATTCCTATTGGTCGAGAGTCCGTCACATGGCCGGTTTTAATAAACGGTTGATAAAGACCGGCTGGCTGGTTTTAAACACTTTTTGTAGTGTCACATAAAGTTTGGACTGCTATGAAATCCGGTGCCTTTTATCATTTTATTGGTGTAACGTTCACAGTCCTCACGTAGGCATGAGCAATACTATCAGTGAGGCAGTATTTCCTAGTCCTAAATTAACGTTGCACCGGCACAGCTGCGTTCTGCGCCAATCGCGCAATACGCAAGCAATGGATATAAGTTTATCAACTCATTTTGTAACTTTTCAATAAGCATAGAAGGTAAATAAAACCTATTTTATGCAAGGAAATACCCGAGCGCTATCCGAGAGTGTCGACGAAATGCATTCGGTAAACTTCGGACATTATCGGATACGGGAATCTTTCGGTCTGGGAACCAGAGTCTTTCGGTCTGAGAACCAGAACCAGGGGTGCGGAACCAGCTTTGCTATACGCGTGCCAGTGTCCAATGATTATGCCAACCTGTCAGTAGCGTCGACTGGCGTTCCACCCCCTCCGGAACCACAATAGCAGCCGTAGCCATTATACTCCAATGGATTGGTTCCTGTAGCACACGTCATCATGAGGGCAAACTGTGGTAAGGAGCGTTTTTGTCTGGAGGCCGCCTGACCTGTATAAAAGGAGAGTATTTACGTTATTGAACAAATTCAATAGGTTTCTCGGCTATTTTTAAACGTTTATCATTCGAATTCACCGATTCCAATATTCAAATTCGTCCATCAACATCGATCGAGTTAGTGCACTTGTTTAATTTTGTCAATGTTTAATTTTGTCTTTTGTTAGACAATTTGAAATTCAGTTCAAGCAAATTCAAACAATGAGCACACGTTTTCATCCCGAAGTATCCAATTTTGTCTCGTCTACACCGTACCAACCTTGATATTCAGAAATAAAATTCCTGTAATTGATTTATATAAGACGAAATCGATTTCTTAATTCTTGCCATTCGGCAACATCTTAGACGAATTTGATCTGTAATGACGAATTTTCTCGACCCGGTGACTAAAGAAGGTGACCAAAATTTGAAATTGATCATTTCCTCTTCTACACTCTTTTTCAGACGGATTAACACCTAATTACGTCATTGCAGTTCTTTTGCGTTTAGTGCCATTGCGTTAATTTACCATATCATATCTCATAGACTTGCATGTGGACAAAGGGTTTTTACCATCATCAGGTGCATAACGGGCGCGAATCCCACAAAGTGAGTGGTTACCGCAGTATTTACAAGACGTATCGCAGACTTGGTGATTTTAATTTAATGTCTCACATTGATATTCTCCCGTTTCAATTATTTCTTATATCATTTTATTTTGATTGTCACCTTTTGCGACTTTGCAAATAAGGTGCTCTTCTCGATCGGACGTCATGAAGAAAGGTTTCCGTCTTGTGCCCAGTTTTATTTTAATAATATGATATCACCAGGAGGAGAGAGCAGTTAATTGTAGCGTACCGCTGTACGCCATTGGGACGAGGTTGGTAACACGTTTCCTTGGAGATAGACAGTTTGGAAACGGAAACATTTTATATAGGCCTACACGTACATTATACTTCCACAGGCGCAAAGGTATTTATGGGCGATGACTCATGTAATACGCAAATCCAATATCCGCCAAAAGAGCCAGCGGCTCATTGGAAGATCAAGTTGACGTATTGCAAGTATCAACTCATATATTCGATAGACCTTTTGCTTACGGGTGTCTCAGAGTGTGTTCTTTGTCATTTTAATCTAGTAACAATGGATGTACAAAATCTGCACTCACGCATGCTTGACCAGGCGATATAAAACTATCGCCCTCTGGCTCTGCCTTAACGCGTAAAGCCTATTCATTTATACGGAAACTGCAAAGTTTTTTAATATGGCTTTGAACATTAGCGAATGTTTAGTTGCAAATTTTAAATTATTCATTGAAGCAGACTGGATTTATCATAAATTCTTGTGCTTTCATTTCTCTTCGCAAGTTCCAAAAATTAAAATTTTACCTAACTTTCAATTCAATATGGCCTACTTGTGAATATTGCCCATACTTCTGTTGCATTGTCTGAAGAATAAAACTTTAACAAAAGTATGCATCTGTGTTTAATGTACAAGAATAGCATTATAACAATGCAATAAATCGACTAGAGATTGCATTAAATAAATTAAATGAAACCCCTCTTTTCAATTCAAAATATCAAAACTTTCTTCATTAAATACCAATGCATAAACAGGAGCTTGACCCAGGAGGGAAAGGTGCGTTTTGTGACATGTGTGAAATCTCAGTCCATTTTTAGTGTTTATGTAATGTAAATAATTAGGCTTTCACACCTCTCAATGACATTTGGCTGCACTACACCACCTTTAGACTTCCCAGCAAAGCTCGTTCAAGTGAAAATATTTCTCATGGAATTTGTGGTAAATGTCACAGGAAAACATCAGAGAAAACTCAATTTTTTGTGTTTATGTAATGTAAATAATTACACACCTCTCAATAACATTTGGCTGCACTACACCACCTCTAGACTTCCCAGCAAAGCTCGTTCAAGTGAAAATATTTCTCATGGAATTTTCGGAAAATATCTCTGGGAAATATCAGGAAAAAAAAAAATCAGGGAATATTGCCTTCATAAAGTTGCCTGGGAATTCTCTACTTCAGAAAAACTTCGAGATCGACGAAATCATATTCATGCAAAACTTTGACTAATTATTGACTGTTTTAAAATTCGGGGTAACCTTTAAAGTGGAGTTTTTTACAACTTTTTATGGAATTAAAGTAGAATAAGGACTCTTACCTTCAGTAATGAGCGTCAAGGCGCAGACAAAAAGAAACATCACTGATTTCCCTGCCATTTTTCAACAAGGGTGTTAATTCTCCACCCGTATTTAGAATTCCACGATCCGTCCTCTCGCACGCAGTGTGCCACAACCCCTAAAGTTTGGCAGTTATAACTAGTCTCCAAATTTAGAAACACGTCAGAGCAGATCATGTATATACGTCCTGCCTATCCCACAGAGTGCAGTGACTCATTCCGTGTTGCCGTTTTTAAACACATCACAGGAACTGGCAAAGTTGGACGTACTTGCACGGCTTTGGATATGACGCGCAGATTTGTAAATGTCAACTTTGGAAAGACTGATATAGAAGGTTGTGAATGCTTTTGTTTCCCGAAGTTGGTTATGTTGCTCAGGCTAGACGAATGCACTTTGCAGGACGTGACGTACAGGGCGTACCCTGCGATTGGGGGGGGGGGGTCTGTTCCCCCTCCCTTAAAAGCTATATACAATGGATTATACATGTACATGTATATTCTGTCGGGTATAAAGGACACAGGAACGCACCCATTCATCGAACTCAGACCCGTCGCCTGTAACGTCATGCAGGCGGTAACTCATGATATTGCCAACACGCAAAGCCACCCTTCCCATTCCCCCAAAATGTCGAAGATCACACAAAACCATTGAAAACAAACACCCGTATTACATTGTACACACGTGCCCCAATTTCATGGTCTCTGCACATGGCATATTCGCACACACAAAATGGCGAAGAATCCTTGAAAGAAATCCTATATCCAGACCCAGATCAAGATCGCTTCCAAAATCTAATCGATTTGTGCTTGTACCAAGGACCACCCCTCAATGTTTTTTTTTTAATGCGTATCCGTCCATAACGTTTTGAGTTATCTTGTTAACAGACAAACCAACGCCAATGAAAACATAACTTCCTTGGCGGAGGTAAATACGTAGGTTAAAATTCCAGTCAAAAGTGGGTTTCCTTCTTTTTGCACCACCCTTGTAGGCCTAAAGGTAATTCCATCGGTAAAATACAAATGTAGATCTAGGATGAATAGCCAACGTTAATCAGGCATGTCCCAAATTTAAATATATATGTATATTTTGCCCACCTCAAAATATTGTCGTGCATAATAAATTGCTTTTTGGAGTGCGACAAGCGTTTTCAAAAAAGCCCATTCTTTTGTCACACGTGACCTTTTTCATTTGCCCATGAAAAAAACATAGAGGGCAATACAGCTGACAACCAATTAAGACCAAGAAAGCACACAGACTGAGTTCATTTGTTCTACTGTATGGATATTTAATAGTCACGTTGAAGAATAATATCACAATACTTCGATGATAATCTACACACAATAGATCTCACTCTTAAAAACAAAAGGTATAATAGACAGACGTCGAAAACAGAAGCAGCACATTTTGAATTTGAAAGTTAAAAATATTTAGATATATACATGTAGTTAGATATTAATTATTGCATGCATGATTACAAATATAAGAACACAATCATCGGGATTACATTTTTAATCCTTAATGTGCTATTGTACATGTATTACGAAACTTTTTGATAGTAGTAATATTTTTCGAGGTTAATACTTTGATAGCATTAACAAACATATGATCCACTGTGAGGTCTACGGAAAGTGAAGTATAATATCATTCTCATCTGTCAGTATTCACATCATTATAATTACAGTGTTTGCGTGCCAATTCGGGGCTATATATGAAAGCAAACCTCACCAACTGCAGTTGGAGATATCGTTTCGGTTTGCAGTAACACAATGTGGTAATAAATACTGCTTAGAAGATATTTAGTTCTGAAAAGAACTTGTCCTGCTTATTTACAACTTTCGCTAAGTACTTTTAGTTCTGATAAGAACAGTCATGCCTTAAGTTATAAAAGAACTTAACGGAGCAGGAAAAGTCCTTTTCATAACTATATCTTCTAAGCAGTAGTTGTGACATGGTGTTACCGCAAACCGAAACGATATCAATACTCCACCATGCAAAGCCTAATATCTTATGTTGTGGCCATAGTGAAAATACCCATGTGTCAAGGGAACGCATGTTGCTTACAGCAAAGCTCCGGTGTCATGTGACAATATCAGCCAATCGGAAAACAAAGGCCGCATCGTGTGTACCATCAAAACTGTACATTAAAATAAACTTGCGTTTCAACCAATCTAAATTATTACTTTTTCCTGAAAAAAAAGTATTTGATGTGATTCCAAGTCTTTTCATTTGCTAACGCATGACTAACGTCGAGAAAAAAAACACTCACAATCGTAAAAACACAATTTGGGACGCTGTATCTGTCCCTTTCATGCATATTGTCTAAATATAAATTTTGATTATAACTGCCAAGAAAACCTCAACTCCTTCAAGCCTCTCGAACTGTTTTTGTTCTGCCATATTTTCATGTGTTCAGTTTCGGATTGAAGTTATCAACATGCAAACAAGGTCTTATGAAAATGTAAACGCTCGATTTTGTCCACAAAAAAATGAGTCGAATGACCAATGGAAGAACCCATCGTCAATATCGTGAAAGTTCCGGTTTTTTTATTTTCATTTTCAGGATTTCATTTGACTATCTCCACAAATGAACCTTTTGATATTCTCTTGAGCATTTGGATGAACAGCCTTTTTTAGTATCCGCATTTCTTTCTGTCGTAGCCTCTGTTCTTGTCGTTGTGTTTGTGCGTGGCCAAGCAGGACGCCACCTGTCGGTCGCACTCGCAGATCGTCTTGGAGCACAGCGCCTGGGCCGCACTGTCTTTCTTGTAGTGAGAGACTGGAGCTGTGATGATTGGCAAAATAAAAGAAAAAAAATGAAACAACCTTTTCTGGCAGGCCAGCTTCAACATGTCACATGGTGATCGGTCAGTCGGTTTGTACCCAAAAATTGACCAGTAATAAGTGACCAGCAATAAGTGACCAGCAATAAGTGACCAGCAATAAGTGACCAACAATAACTGACCAGCACTAACTGACCAGCTATATAACTGACCAGCTATAACTGACCAGCAATAAGTGACCAGCAATAAGTGACCAACAATAACTGACCAGCAATAACTGACCAGTAATAACTGACCAGCTATAACTGACCAGCTACAACTTACCAGCAATTACTGACCAGCAATTATTGACAAACAATAAGTGACCAGCAATAAGTGACCAGCAATAACTGACCAGCAATAACTGACCAGTAATAACCGACCAGCAATAATTGACCAGCAATTATTGACAAACAATAAGAGACCAGCAATAATTGACCAGCAATAAGTGACCAGCAATAAGTAACCAGCAATAACTGACCAGCAATAAATGACCAGCAATAATTGACCAACAATAAGTGACCAGCAATAACTGACCAGCTATAACTGACCAGTTATAACTGACCAGCAATAACTGACCAGCAATAAGTGACCAACAATAACTGACCAGCACTAACTGACCAGCAATAAGTGACAAGACTGACCAAAAATATAAGTTACCAGCAATTAAGTGACCAGCAATAACTGACCAGCAATAAGTGACCAGACTGACCAAAAATAAGTTACCAGCAATAAGTGACCAGCAATGTGACCAGCAATAACTGGCCAGCAAAAAACCAGCAATAACTGACCAGCAACAACTGACAAGCTTTTACTGACCAGCAATGACCAGCAATAATTGACTAATTGGCCAAACGCCATGCCGTGGTCATACATCCCAACGCACATGAGAGCTGTTTTTTAGCAAAAAGTCTCTCGAGGCCGTTTGACACTGTTTGACGCAAGGGCGTATAAAGAGATGAAAGTACGTTAACTGTATACTCACTACACTCTATTTCAGCGTGCACGCCGTTTTTATTATTAGAGGTGTCTTTGGATTTGTACTTGTAGGACTGGCTGTAGATGGTTTTCTTCGAAGTGGAGCATACTCCTTTCTGTGCAGTTGTGAAACATTGGTCATGTGTCTGGCAGCATCTTATGGACAAAACGGAAAGGAAAAGATACTTTGCTCACGCCTAGTTTATCAAGATAACGAATATGGAACACAGGCAAACAAGAGTTACATTTCCTCCAGACAAATTATCTGACATCAGCATTCAGGAAGTCAATTAATTTATGACCTCCGCCAGGGAGGTTATGTTTTCATCGGATTTGGTTAGTTTGTTGGTTGGTTTGTTTGTTAACAAGTTATGCACGGATTTGCATGAAAATTATTTTAGGGGTCGTCCCTGGTACACGCACAAATCGATTAGACTTTGGAAGTGATCCGGATCTGGGTGTAGATCCAGGATTTTTAAAGACTCTTTTCCATTTATGCGAGTACAATGTATTTCTTTTGGGTGTACTGACAATGTGATGGGGGAATTGCTTAGCCTTGGTGGATTTTCAGGTTTCTGAGTGCTTTCTAGTTATTAGATAAAAAGACAGAGCGACAAGTTCTAAAAATAGGACTATAGGTGGCGCAACGCAACCGGCCACGTTTTATGAGATGTGTGCGATTTTACAGTGCGGGTTGTGTGCAATTATTGGCTTTGGACGTCTGGTATTACGTCTACTGGAGATGCGTTAGAAGCGTGTACTGGCAAGCAACGATGTCCTCTAAAAGACAAATAAGGGGATTGTTTGGAATGTAGCGTAAGAATGAACTAGACATATAGCGTAAATAGAATCATCTGACAGAGGTGCTCTACCCAGCGGCCTAGCCATACAGGGTTCTCGCGAGAGGAGGAGGGAAGCCAATTTCTGTTACTTTCAGAGGGGATCACGGGGGCAGCGATTTTTTTATGAACCCCCCCTCACCGGTCCAACGGCCCCCAGCTAGCACCTGGCTCTGTCAAATCCAAAGTCTGTTGGATTTTGTCCATGCGGACACAGCATGGGAAAAGGCCCCTTGAGATCGTGTGCACAAAAAATACATAGGCTACGAATGTTCATGTGTACTATGAATTTTGTTTTAATGTAAAGCCCACAAATTTCTTTCTTGAGAAAGTGTAGGGGATAAAGCATCAGTAAAACAACTATGTATACACGTTGGGAAATCAGGATCGGCAGATTTGTTTGGAGCTTGTAAACCGATGTATTTGTAGTTTTCATCAAAGTAACATAGCAGGATAACGGAAAATATAACATGCTTGCATGATCTCGACAGGTGAAGTTAAAGGGCTTAGTGAAATCTTCGTGGCTGAACGCTTGGTGGCGCTAGTGGTAGTAACTATGAATGTGACGGGCACCAGACATACACGTACGGCGATCTACTTAGGGTGCACCCCTGTATAAAAATTCGCATACTTTTTTTTTTTTTTTAAATACTCAGAACTTTCACATGTGTTCAGGCTGCACAGAAAAATGATGATCAACACGTGATCTTTCATTTTTTTTCTTCAATTTTTGGTAGGTTGACCAATGACTTTTTGGAGAAATTCTTACCCAAGAAGACCACCCCTAAAAACGAACGATGTTTCCCGAACTTGAAAAGTAGCCATTTTGAAAAGGGATCCCTCCACAGCACGGCTATGGTTGCAGACCGGTAAGTAAACTTCCATAGACCCCAATGGTAAATGCTCCCACATCAGAAATTCGGGAAAAATACTCACAACTCTCCAAGGTGTTAGAGACACACATCAAATTAAAGCTTATTTCATCATCTTTCATTTTCTTTTCAATTTGCGGGGGGTCAACTGATGACTTTTAGGAGAAATTTCCATCTGAAGATGATCACCCCTGAAAATAATCCTGAAGCCCATCGCCATTTTGAAAAACGATGCCTACACCCCGTTGCAAAATAGAGCGCCTTAAGGGCCCCAATTTCATCCAAATTGAACGGAACTACAAGCTCACAGTCCTGTGCACGGCTTCCACCCGAATTTTTTACAAACCCTCCAGTTCATGCCCCACAGTAAGCTCAAATGCTGAAGATTTTGAGGGCATGCAAATCGTGATTTGGCCGGCGTAGGAAATTTCGGACCGATTTACTGGTCTGTAACCCTATAAGGCGCCACTTTTGGACCCACTTGCATCCTTAAATTGACCGTTATATCCGCTCCGTTCCCAAGTACCCCCTCACCGGCAAAGAGAGTACAGTTGGGGGTGACCAAACGACGCCATCTTACCTGACTGAAATTCTTTTGCTGCGAAGCGCGGCCACTGCGGGTACATAGTACAAATCCCCTGGTGTACGTGCGTCACATACAAGGAACAGTGCGCGTCAACCAGCGAAATGTCCAACCCATGCATGAGACGTCGTTGTTATGTAAAAGGGCGCACTCTTTTGGTAGCGCACGGAGCTCATATATTCAAATTACGCCACTGGGTGGCGCACTTCATTGTAAATCAATCGCTGCTTGATTTGGACTTACCTGTCTACGTCATCCACCGGTTCACCATGTCCACCAATCCCGCAGTAACAGCCGTAGCCGTTGTACGTGGTCATGACACCGAACAGCCCCTTGCCAGTCACGCTACTGATCATGTTCCCCAAGCCAATCAGGTCCCGTCGAGTCCGGACTCTGGTATACGAATCGTCTCCGGCCTCTGTACATTCAGAATCGATGTGAGAGAAACAAACGTGATTTGAGGTGGGGACTGGTGGAGAAAACACCCAAGGGGATTATGGCGCCCCCCTAACATTCCTTCTGGTTAAACTTCGATTGTTGTGGTCTTTTCCTCCACTTTTCCTCCACGGATTTTGAAAGTTAAAGTTATTTATTTCCACCAGCTTGGGTCTCTAATGTATCAATCTGCTTCTGGCACCTCACCATCTTCCATTTATTCAATCTTTATCCGAAATTTTGATGTTCATTCCCAGAATTTTGATGTTCATTCCCATTATACTCGTCAAATCTCTAATTTCCATCTCCCATTGACTCGCACATCTTCAGCCAAAAAACTATTAGATATGAGGGACCCAGGCTGTGGAACTCATTTACCGAGAACCTGAAAACATCTAAAAATGTATCTACTTTCAAACGGAAATATAAATCGACCCTGCTGTATAATTATTGTGACCACGTATAACCCATTAACTTCGAGATTGCTCGTGCTACAAATCTTATCCTGCTTGTTAACCCTGTAAAATTCGTGTATTGTCCTTGTCTATTGTTTGTCCTGTGTTTGATGTATTAAAAGCTACTTTAAATTTGCATACAAGGGGCCTACGATTACAAGCTTAGCTTCTTAGAAGGTTCCTCTACAGTTTTATCCGGTGACCGAGTGACCACTGCCTGAAATCTGCTAAAACCCTAAACGGGACATAGGTTAAGGATGTAATTGACGAAAGTCGGTTCATATCAGCTGAGGAATGTTGGCAAAAAAATAAAAAGCATTTTACATCCCTACTGACCATTAGGTGACCATTAGCCAAATTCTGCACAATCTTTACGAGGCTTGCTCCAGACACTGGCTACGTTTGACATTCATTGGATCCGGACTGTGGGCGAAGAAGCATTTTGTAATTTTGAAGAAAATGACCCTTAGGCCTACTGACCATTAAGTGACCATTGACCAAATTCTGTGGACAACCTGAGGCTTGGTTCGGAGTGAACCTGACCAATTTCTGTTTAAACACTAGTTTGATCATGGCTATGGGAGGAAAAAAAACATTGTGTATTTTGAAGAAAATTACCACTAGTAAAACTAGGTGAACTTTCACCCCACACGCTGGTCACTTAAGATACGACTCCGGTCAAGGAATAAACTGTCAAAATTTGGCTGAAATCGGCCAAGGCACAGTTTGGCAAATATATTGAGAAGGAAGAGGGAGTGAAGACGAAGTAGAAGATAACGGCGTCACAGTATGGTTGCACCGGCTGATTATAAGGAAAAGAAAGGCCTAGAGTGCCACTAGCATTATAGCCTTGTTCAATGCGGTCTCTCGGCTTTTTGTCGAAGGGAGATAATCGGGCCCTGCACCCACAATCAACGCAGCTACGTGCGTGTACGACCCTTGTCCGTACGAACGGCTAACACAACCAGCAAGCACACACACGTGAGTACGGACTGTACGCATGGTGTATTAAGGCAGTAAATGTAGGCCTACTGTGTTCTGCGTGTGGGTGTACGTACGTGCGTGTGGGGGATATACGCGCCGCGTGGCCGTTACGCGGACTAGCTCATGCATGTACATGTACTGTGTGTGCATGGCTGTTGTATGGGTGTACGAGTACGTGTGTGTACATGTACGTGCGTACGTGCAAGCATAGCCTCGCTGTATGGTACAAGTTACTTTCTCACTAGCAGCGTACGGGCATCGATATGTGCACGCAAATATGCCTTGCCAAGTTGAGTAGGGATTTTCTTATCGGCGGTTTTTTTTTTATCGGCGAATCGATAAGCCCAACGCCTTGGTCAAGGCTACTAGCATTAATGGTGGCCAGCCTTGATCGTGCCCATTTTCTACCAATGACGGCCAGGTCATTCCGAACCAAACGTCAAGTTACAAATCTCGGGGTGCCCTTCAAAGAACCATACATTGCATTTTGAGGCTGACACATCACATAATAAATATCTACATTATTCTTTCGTGTAAAACCTAAAATTACATTATTTTGAGAGACGTTTGTTGGATATACCAGTACCGTATATAAGAAGTGACACACAACCTTACCTACTTGAACAACAGAATTATAACAGATACAATGATTGATCAAAATGTATCAAAGAAAACCCCCTGAACATCTTGGAAATCAAAGTTGGCAAGAAAAAAACATAGAATATGCCAGAAATTTGATTCTCTGAGTTGATATGATGATAACAGTAATTTTTAGTTATTTCATTTATTTTATTCATTCGTGAAAATTACGGTGAACAGAATCGTGGATATTTCCAGCTGTACAGGTCCGCCTACAAGTTCATGCATAGAGACGTCTTTTTAAAAGCAACATTCCCCGTTTACAACGGTTCACGTCAAAGGGGAAATTAATGTAGTAATTTATATATAGTAATGCAATATTCATTAATCTTCGGTACATTAAACAGTTTTTTTTTTAATTGTGCGTACGAACTTTTTTAAAATTTGGGTAAAGAAAAAGGCTTGGCATTTTTCATATAATTTAAGATGGTCTTCACAAAAGTACATAATTAGGATACACGTTTATCGCTGTAAGAGTCCTATCAGGCTGGCCAAGTCGCATTTGGCTAAACCGTGGAGAAATCTCAATGGCTAAACTGACCAGCATACGGAGTATTGTTTACAAATAACATGCTTGTTTTTATCATTTTGAGAAGAATTCCATACATTGGCATCAATACTTTTCCCCTGCATGCAGTGACCTACCTATCAGCCATGTCCATTTAGCTGGGAAAATTACTAAGGGCAAATCTTTCCATCATTTTTTATGGCAGTTTGAGATTTATTACTTGCTTTAAATCATGATGATGATGATCAAGAAAATATGAGGAATAAGTACTGACAACTTATCAATTACGGGTTGTCAACTATTTTACGGCCGTAGAACAAAACCGCACTCACCTACGATAGCCATTGAGACCATCACAACAGCCAGCATAATCAGCAACCTGCACGTAGCCTCCATCTTGTTCGAGAATCTCATTATTATAATCGATTATTCTAACACCAGGGACGCTATGATTATATCATCCCTTCTCCTCCAGGTTGCCTCTCCGACCTGCAAGCAGACGCTGGATTTCACAAATACTCCCGTCAGTTATGAGTTCCTGATAAAAAGGAAACACCAACAATGAATAGCAACGATGACCGTGCCACGCAAAATTTCCTATTGTGCTAGGCGGGCTTTGGATAATGTCTATTTGCGCGCAGCCTTTCATCAGCATGGCAACTCCCTAACACGGCCGTGCAATCTCCCACACGGCGCGAACCCTCGTCAATAGATGCCCCTGAGATGAACACAGCACACGCCGCCTCTTCAGTACCAGGATGAAAATGAATCCATAGAAGCATAGAAAGTGTACATGTTCGTCACGCTTTATCGATTCATTACACCCATGGGGGTAGACTTGTCCTAGTCCACAAGGAAGTAGGATTTTGCTGTTTTGATTTCAGCTGGGCCCAATTTCACGGCGCTGGTAAGCACACGATTTTCTGCTAACAGAGCCTCCGTCTATTTCATGGAGACCGTAAGCATAAGCACAGTAAAAGGCACGCTTACTTCAGGGGACAAATTTGCTTAACTTAGTGACGTAACAATAGAAATCTCCATGCACGCGCGACCGTTAGCACACAAACGCCGTGAAATAGTGCTTAAGCTTAGCAAATTTTTCTGCTATGCCAAACACAGCTTTTCTGCTAACTGTTAAGCAGCGCCGTGAAATTGGGCCCAGGTCTATTCTTAGCAAACATTATTTTCACAATTTAGGAATGGCAAATGTAAATAGTCATAAATGCTTACCGGGTTGCAAAATTTCGGATTTGTAACTGTCCATCAGTTCAGGGGCTGGCCGAGTGCACTCAGGACGTGGCCGGCGCTCTATAAGTGGCGACTGGAAGCATTTTTTTCTTTTACAACTAGGAATAGTCAATTGCCATTATGCGCATGCGTCAGTTGGTAATGGAATGGTTCTCAGACTTAACTTCCAATAAAAACAACCTTGCAGAGCCATCAAGCAGGAAGGAAAAAGAGACATTATTTCATCGATCAGTGTAGGGTTTGACTACGCACAATTTAAGAAAGAAAATTCATTCACGTGATAGGTTCTACGCATGCGTGTTCAGGTAAATGACTTCACTGGCCCGCAGAAGAAAATCAAATGCCGTCTGGAACGCGTTGAATTCCAAGTTAATGCCGCCTGGCGTTAAGCGTGCCCAAATGGAACATGACGCGTTGTAACAGGATGGTTCTTTTGTTGTTCATCAGTCTGCGTTGTTGTAAGGACGCAGACGCATCTGCCTCGACTCCATATGGGCGCGTGCGTGTTCCTGGCGCAAGGCCATAGACTATGCGCAAGGCATGATGACAAACAACATGGCGCAGCAAGATCGTACCCATGGGGAACGAGGTTGCAGACGCATATCTCATTGCTGGATTTGCTGGGTTTAGGGGTGCAACCATGAAAATAAATTCCCATAGACACCATTGATAAATCCCAATACTTCACAATTCTTTTTAAAATACTCAAAACTCTCACAGATGTTCGGACTGCACAGGAAAACAAATCACCATGCCGTCTTTCATTTTACTTTAAATTTTTGGTTGGTTGATCAACCAACGAGTTTTTATTAATTCTCTCAAAGACCACCCCTATTTGGAAACGATATTTCCCAACCTAGAAAAGCAGCCAATTTGAAAAACAAAAATATCCCTCCACAACATGGCTATATAGCGCCACTTTCGGACCCAATTGCATCCGAATTGCTCAGAAATTGGAAGCCCTAAGTACAGGCCAGAGGTCCGGTGCCATAATGTCTTCAATTCCCCGATTCCATTGCTGTCAGAACTCTCTAAACTTGAATGTATAACTTTTATTCATGAGCTCGGCGGAGGGATGTTTGGCTTATTTACCGGGTTGCACCCTTAGGGCCTATTGTCGTGTTAGGGTTTCAAATTCATTCCTTTTTCGTATTTTCAAGAAAGCTATAAAGAAACATATCACATCATTGTTCGATCAGTCACGGTTTCGGTGTGCATATCTTTTATAAATGCTCTGATAAAATACGCAGTTTAGCTGGCTGCATTTTACATTTGATATTGTGTTCTCGATCGGCTTTTATTAAGCAGTCCTCTTATCATAATCGGGTTACAGATACTAATATAATCTGGAACTTTCTAGTTCATTAAATCCGTTGCTCTGTCATGGAGAACCCAGATGGCCTTATGGTAATCTTGCACTCGGAAGAGACAGACGATTACTGTATGCGCCACCTGCGCGCAGAACAGATTATTGGATTTATGTGCAATGTAACGGAACGAACAGATGTTTCTGACTTGAATACATAATGATCGTGAAGGCGATAGCAACTTGGAGCCAGACCCATTTCCAAGAGGAATCTATATTTAAGGACACAGGCCGTGTTTTCCCACAAAGCAACACTTAAATAACAATTCATAAATACCTAAGACAGTTTACCCATTCCCATTGGTCGAGAGCCCGTCACGTGGCCGGTCTTAAACGGATGATAAAGACATGGTTGCATGGCTGGTCTTAAATTTTTTCTAGTGTCACATGAAATTTGGACTGCTATGAAATCAGGTGCCTTTTACCGTTTTATTGGTTGACGTTTACAATCCTCATGTAGACATGCGCAATAGCTATGCTACCAGTGAGTCAGCATTTCATAGTCCTAAATTCACAATGCGCCGGCACAGCTGCGTTCTGCGCCACTTGCGGAGTACGCTTGAAAACAAAGCTTGAAAAGCAGGAAAGTGGTGGAGGTGGGGGTTGGGGAATGGTCTATAAGAGGAAATGGTGATGGTAGCAATATTATTTGCAAATCAACAGCTCTGTTGACTTCTTAGTGTTTAGTGTTCAACACGAACTTAAATGACTCAGCAAGCAAATGTCTTTGACTCTTGTAGGTAATGTTTGTTTCATGGTGGCCTCGAATTTACATTTGAAATAAAATTAAAGGAATAATATTAGTTAAATTCAAGAGACTATTTTACCTTCGAAAAAGTCCCATGGCATGGACAAAACTAGTGCTTCCATTTTATACATAAATGAATTCCGTCGAATAAAATGAATAAAAATCAAAGTTAAGGAAACAAGCGATGGCTTTTAAAAAGTTTCATTTCTTTAAAAAAACACTCATATCTCAAAGAAAGAAAGAAAGAAAGAAAAGCAGAATCGGGAATAAGAGGTTAATACGACGTCTTAAAAAGTTGACAAGATAAAAGAAGACTATGTGTCCTTCAAGGGTCACCCATACATCAAACAACTTTAAAATCTCATTTTAAAATTTAAGTACATGTAAATTTTGTTCAGTCCCTCCCGAATAATGTGCGCGTGTGAAATCCGTACATGACGAAGCTTGTGACTAGACTTAGCAGTAGTCCTGTGACCAGTTTTTCAAAGACGTGTCGTAGTGACTGGCGGCAAAGCACTCGGCTCCGGCGCGGTCGCACTCGCACATAGCCGCCGCACACTCGCTCCATGGGCTGTCCAGGAATCCGTAGTCCTCAGCCCGTTCTGGTGAAAAAAGGGTTCAAAATCGAAAAACATTAAAACGAGACTTTAAAGGCACTCTCTGAATTCCAAAGAGTGAAAATTCCCTCCATTCGAGTGAAGATTCACTCTCACAGTCGGAAACTAGGGACCAGACGTTTTTGAATAAAATTTCTTCAATCGTAAAGAGCGAGTTTCATCTTTCTTCAGACTTTTTAAATCTGAAATGAGAGTGATTTTCACTATAAAACGTCTAGTCCCTCATTTCACTCTTTGGAATTTAGAGAGCATATGGGATCATTTGCTTTTCATACATAATTTTGTTTGTTTCCAATAATAACACGACTAAAAACCCAAAAGAAGACAATTTAAGAACCAATGGGCTCCGTGCGCGAACAGAGAGGGCGCTTTTTGACCTCCTTTAAGAGCTCGGGGATGGGGGGGGGGGGGTGGTGGGCAACCGCGGACTGGAGGCTGAGGGCACCCTTATGGCGCGAAGAACGCACGACTGAATGTACACAAAGCCATAGCTTCTTTGTGTGACTGTCGGCAGTGCGTTAGAATGTCTTCCCTAACTGTCCCTTTCGTACCGATGAGGGGGTACTTTACTTGTGCACGGAGCCCCTAACCTATTGCACTTTCAATCAGTCGGTATTACACATTTAGAGAAAGCAGATTACGATTTCGTCTATAGCACTCTGTATTTCCAACAATTGAAATGGACTGATCGTCCTAGTCTTACATTAACAAGTTTCTAAAAAGACTTATAAATGGCAGCAAAACAGCCAGACGGAATAATTTCACGGAGTGTTAAAGTACCATGACCAGTACCATCTTTAATCCAAGTAAAGCTTTTTGATAATAATCCGATAACTCACTTTTTAGACAAATTAAAATGATCCCATATTGCCTTTAAAACAATACTTTTACAATGACAAGAGATCACATTCAAGTTGGTCGTACCACTGCCTCATCCAAGAGGTTCTTCCGGTCTTCAGCTACTTCTCATTATATATGCCTATTTCACACAAATATTGAAATACGTATGGGGGCCTATGTCCAAATATGTTAGAACTTGAAATTTACTAATACTTCTCGTGCATTGATGGGCAAACAACCAAATTAGCAACCAAATTTGATTTTTCTTTTCATGATACCACATACCGAAAAAAATACCTTATGGGAAATTGGTAAGATACCACCAACATTCATGTATCGACTTTCAGTGCTGCTTGGAACAGTTCCTTCTGATAAAAGTGATGATACAGAACGATATACTTTGAAAAAAGGATAATCGTCACTGTCACGCAAATCTACTGAAAGTCCCATTGTACGTACTGCATGTTACCACTGCATCAGGCTGTCTACAATTCTCAATTGTAGCATCGTAGTTGATAATGTACACGTGGCTCTCGTATGGGCATTTACCAGACTTCATGACCACGTCGTAGCAGTTATCATGCGCTTGACAACACCTAGGAGAATGAAATCACAATTCAGATGAAATCCACCACTTTGATCCACCGCCCTGATTGGGCCATTTTTTTCAGTGAATGGGGGCGCTGTTCATGAAAGTCATACACGCAACCAAAAAGAAAGTCCCCCCTTCCAATACGTTTTTGTCTAACTCAAAAAGTACTGAGCACATCTCGCTCAAATAACAACTAATCGGTACAGAAATTCCTAAGTAATCCAGTCATTCTCTTTATTTTGCCCAAAAGAGTGATAATGTGTACGAATTTATGCAATTTATGACAAAATGATACCGAAAAACAGTTGCACTTTTGTATACGTGCAAGTTGTGGTTCACACTCACCTCGCACGTACGTATGCAAAAAATGCAACTTTTTGTCGGTACCATTTGTCATAAAATTTTGCATACGGTACACATTATCACTGTTTTGGGCTAAACAAAGGGTAAGGCTGGATTGCGAAGGAATTTCTGTACTGATCAATTGTAATTAGTTTTTTAGTTAGACACAAAAGTATTAATGGGGGACATGAATTTCTTTTTAGGTTGAGTGTATTTCATGTACTAGCGCGGGCGAACAGCTAGAAAACATAACCCATCTATTTGAAGCTGTGTTTTTGGTACGTGGATTACTGCATAATGAATCCCAGTCAAAATTTAACCTACTAGCTTGTTAAGGCCAAAAAAGTCTTCGGTTTCTGGTATGGAGCTTGCCCAAAAAGTGATCCGGCGACGCGGCTTTTTTTTTTATTTACCTGGTTTTTTTTTTTGCTTCAAATGTCGGCTGATGACTGCAAATGGTGCCCGACTAAACTTTAGTGCAAATATATGGGAGTCCAGAGAGGCCACATAAAGCTTATTTTCGACCATAACCCCATCTAAAAACACGTTAAGATTATGCAGCAGCAGAATTCCAGTCAA